TTTTACAAACATTCAATCAAAAGAAAAAGCACAAGAATGGCTAGTAGCATTTCAGGAAAAAACTAAAACTACAATGCAAATTTCACATGGTTTTAAAATTACTGGCAAATGTGTTTTGTTTCGTGAATTACGGCATTGTATACACAGTCATAAGGTTAAAAAAAAGCAAGGAAATCTATTGCCAAAAAGAGTTAATAGTAAATGTGCATGTGATACAAATTGTAAAGCTTCTTTGGAAATGCAAATTAAATATTCACGCTTCGAGCAAATGTATCCTCTAGAAATTAAGCTCAATTTTATACATAATCATGTTACGAATTCTGCAGAAGTACTTGGGTTTCGACCTGTAAATAATAGCACAAATGATAAATATTATCAGCTATTTCATAATAGCATAATGTGGCATCAGCTTGGTACACTTATCAAGATGATTTACATTTAAGTGCAAATACTAATGAAGAACTAGTTACTATGTTAGCTGATCAAGCCATTAATTCTGACTATTCATATATTTCAAGACTATATTATATATTTGAATCAGAAGAATATGGTGAGCGAAATGGTGCTGCAATGTTTGTATGACTTAAGCAAAAGGTTGATATATATAATAAATCTGGAAAAGGAACTGCTTATTTGCAAGAATATAATTCTCAAAAAAGCATAGCTTTTATTTTATGTATTGTTACTAGACTTATGAAAAGAGTTCATGAAAAAATCCGACAAGCTAGAGAGTTATATTATCTTGATGCATCAGCTAGTTTTAATCCACTTAATATATCAATCTTTCTTTTTTATACAAGCTGTGTTGCAGGTGGTCTACCATTTGGTATTTTTCTTACATCTGAAGAGATGGAAATTACTATTGAACGTGCAATTAATATGCTAAAGACTATTTTACCACAACTATGTTGGCCAGAAACAAACCGGCTTTTATGTATATTTCATATACTTCAAGCATTTTGGCGATGGTTATGGGATTCAAATCATTCAATTAATAAAGAAGATCGAATTCCAATTATGCAACAAATAAAAAAAATATTATATACTTCTTCAAAAGAAAAAATGGAAAAAGAGTATACTTTATTTACTCAGCAATATTTTCCTAAAAAAAAAACTTGCAAGGTATTTTAATCTTATTTGGGAAAGATGAAAATTCTGGGCACTTTCTTTTCAGAATAGTTTATTAATGCGAAATAATCATACAAATAATTATATAGAGAGGAGTTTCGGACTGCTTAAAGAATTTATGAAATAATATCCAAAAACTAAACCGACAACTTCTTTATTGTTAAATATGCCTTAAAAGCAAAATTTGCCAAAAATTTACTTATAAAATTTAGGTGCATCGATCATTTGACCTATAGTAAAAATTTTGCATACATTATCTGCGTGACAAATCGTGTGACTGTTTATATATTATTTTCATAATTCCTTTCTAATTAGTATCAGTTGCTACTGTAAAGTTTTATTGATTACTTGTAGTAAAATGTGAAAATACAATCGATTATATGAACGAAAATGACTATATCTGATTTATTCTGGTTATAATTGAGTTATAATTTTAAATTGTTGGAGTTACGACCAGTGTTATAAATTTAAAATTTTTTATTAGCGCAAGTGCATATTATATACGTATAAACAGTATGTGCACAAACTTTAAAATTATATGCACATTTTTCATCTACGTAAACAAATTTTTTGTCCTTATCGAGGTGTTGTAAAGCAATGAAATATAATGAAATACAATGTAATACTCTGTCTCTTCTGCTTCGTGCAATCAATCTTGAAGCATCGATAAACGTGCCATAAACTCATTGGTTGTGAACTAAGCTCTTGGCTATCACATTTCGAAGTTTTGTTTTCTTTTTCCCTTTGTTACACTCTAATTACTAACAATACCTACCCGAGCGTAATGCCCACAAATATACGATTTTTTGACTGTCTACTAAAAGCTTGGATTTGACTGTCGTCCGACAAGCCAAACCCAACATAATATAAACAAAGCGATATATCTCTGTGACTGCCGTCTCGACAGCCACCTACTAATACTCAAGATTTGACTATCGTCCGACAGACCAAATCCGAGCATAATATGGACAAAGTGACAAATCTCTGTAATTGTCGACTCGACAGGCTGAACCCTACTGATATTCCTAAATCATGGCTATTTTCTCATTACGCTCCTACCATCTAACAATACCTACCCAAGCATAATGCGTATAAATACAATGATATTCATATGACTGTCGTCCCGACAGATCACTTATAAGATACACCTAAGAATCCAAATATCATGCCAAAAATGTTCATTAGGCCACCCTACGAGGGGTGGAAGAGGTGCGAGATGAAAAAACCACACAAAGTTGGGTTAGCAGAAAAAACAGAAATTATCTAAAAAACTGTCCCCTCTAAATATGCTCTAATGATTACAAAAAACCTATGTAATTACATCGTTACTATGCACCCGGAAAATGTGTACCAGGTTGGTATTCCGGAAATCATGTACATGTCTGGAATCTGATTATGCGTAAATGTTAATACGTACCAATACTAATTTTATTTTTTCGAAGTATATCCTATTTTTTTTTTGAAAATTAATTATTGTATGTTGCAAGCAATTACAATATTTTTCTTTTAATAGGGTGCCTCTAGCACTCTTTAAGCAATTACATTTTATAATTTATATGTACGAAATAAATTTTTTTTTTTTTTTGTTTGCGATTAAATTTATTTATTTAATTTGGTTTGTTGTCTGAAATATTTTTCTTCAGACTATGTGGTTTCACTGCAGCTTTTTTTTTTTTCTGTGCTTTCATTTTAGAAAGATCAACATTTTCTTTTTGTTTTCTTTGTTGAATTGATGCTGGTTGCACCTTAATTTTTACTCCACTTCTAAGCGATTCTGAATATGATAAGGATTTCTGTTGGTAGAGATAAGAAATCAACTTTCCTTGTGATAAAGATTTTGTCTTTTCATATTCTTTTTTAAAAAATTTAATACTAGCGAGAAGTTGTTTGTCATTTTTAATATTTTTTAGAATGTCTTAAAAAAAATTCTCAATTGATTCAATTCGCTTCTCTAAGTCCTTTTTATTATCAGGATCACTTATAAAAAATTATTAAT